CTTTCGGAGGGTATCGGTACAACCTCCCGTATTAACTATTGTTTTTACATAATTTAATGCTTGACTTATGATTGATGACTCATCATTGATTTTGGACAGGTGGTGGACCGTGGTCTATCCGCGAGCTTTCTCTCCCTTAGAGAGAATCGAGGCAACATAAAGTTTTATTCGTTAACCCTTTGACTACTGGTGGGACACATGGATCCCACTTTGTAGTCAAAGACACTACCACAGTTCCTGGGAATATTACGGCAGGAGGGCTCATTTGATGGCTGAACTGTGCACATATAGAAGCTTTCTAGTTCCCACTATGTTCCCAAGTTTTCAGAAAAGCTTGGCGAACGTGGCAGCTTTGAGTTTGCGGTAAATGGAGCTGAGTACCCGTTGGAAAGGCTGCAAGTCCTGGTAGTCAACAATTGTCACGCTGACTACAACGCATGTGTTGCGCACAATGAAGGATGGATCGCGAAAAGAAGTTGAATGCCCTGAAGCTGTCTCCTTCTACAGCAGCAAAATGGGCGGAGTAGATCTGTCTGATCAGATATGTGCACTTTACGACTTCAATATACGTTCCAGAAAATGGTGGTAAGGTGTACTATAAAATGCTACAGGTGGCGGTTGTAAACGCATGGATAATATATTAGGGAATCCATCACGAGAAAACGAAGCTGATCAAATTCCTTGTTCCTCTTGCTCAGCAAATGATTGCGCAGGGGAGGGAAAGGACGGCTAACAGGCGCAAGCCCGGCATGGGGAGGCCACCAAAAAATTTCAGGAGGATCATCAACGTTGGGGACCATATGCCACTACAGTTAAAAACGCGTCGGCGAGGTAGATACCGCGCGATGTCAAAGAAAGAAACTCGTACAAAAATAATGTGTGCTGCTTGCAACGTGCCCTTGTGTATATCATGTTTTACTCTGTACCACTCATAGACCGTATAATGTTGACCTTTTCTTTTTTTGCAAAAGTTTTCGGGTCATTGAAGACTTTAATATTGTGAAAAATGTGTGGTTAGAATTGCCAATTTATTGAACAAAAAAAATCATCCGAGCGGAAACGATGTTATGACAAGACGGGCCGCTACCGCGCGCATGGTCCCTAGATCGAATCCCAGGTCACACCCAACTTACATCAGCCAAATTTTTATAGCTGGTTGCCTGTTGCTGGGAGGGATAATTGCAACGCAGAACACATTTATAACTCGATTCTAAAAAAGTCGTAGTCTAAGGGTTAAACAGAAGGGGTTTCCAAGTTTATGTGTAAACTGATACATGAATCATGAGATTTCCACTTTCATGAATCTACCAAGTTTTTCTCGATCTCTCAATTCTTCTTATTTTATAATCCCAGGAACTGAACCTTGCAGCAATTACGTTACAGTGCAAACCCCTCCATTCAGAAGGTTATATTTTTCTTCAAAAGCGGTCTCATGAGATAGAATACAAAAATTTAAGAACTTGAAATTGTTTTCTCTCTAAAAAGTCTTTAAAATGTTGCAAATGTCGATTTCTTCAAAAAATCGTCCCGTTGTTCCGTTTTTTGTGGCACACAGTTTCCGACATTCAAACATTTATAACTTCCTTCATTATGAACTTTCTGCAGATGTTCAAAGCTTATTAGAAACTAGAAGATTAGCGCTTTCAAACAAGCACCTCAGATTCTTCCAAAGACCCCTCCTTCAAAAAATCCCATTGTTCCGTTTTTAGGGGTTTGTGGTCCGATTTTGAAAAGGCGCTAGTTTTCAACATTTTAACGCTCACAGCTTTCTTTATTATCAACTTTTTGCAGAAGTTCAAAGTTGATTAGAAATTGGAAGACTAGCACTTTCGAGTGCTGAAACTTTTTCGAAGAATTGTTCTTTTGAAAAGTAGTCCCGTTGTTCCGCTTTTCCCCTTTGATTTTTCCGAATCATTCTCTTGAAAGGTGACTTTGCAATCTTCAAACATCCATAATTTCCTTCCAAGTTCATAAAATTTTCCCCGAGAAGCTTTCTTCCGCCAGAATTTCTGAGGAGTTCCGTGAAGTCATTTGAGCAACTTATAACGTTCCTCCACTCAGATTTGTTTTGATGACAGGATCAGGATTCTTTTGAGGAATATGGTCTGCTAACAGCCGCTGACAGATAAAGCGTTTTGAAATGAACACTCCTGCTCGGGGTACGCCGTGCACCTGTTTGTGATAAGCAGTCGCATCGCACCACTTCTCTCAAGACGGTGATAATATTGCAGTTACGTTGTACTGTTACATGGAATCCTATTTTTTCGATGCACTTCACCGCGGGTCCCTGTTTATACCACCCCCCCCCTTCTTTACTTCAGCCGAACACGATCTTCTCGTTGTTCGTTGCGCAACGGGCGGTTGACCCTGGGGAGCGGCGCATTTGCATAGCATTGTGAACCTCTATCCGACTCATGAAAGGATTTGACTTATCTAGCTGGAAGGCAAGCCTAGGGATAAAATGTGTTGACAAGGTGAAGACGGCTGGCGCCAGGTAGCGCCACCCTAAAAATCCTACTTACTATAAGGCGCTTCGTCTGTTGTCTGTCATTCTGTGTGTCTGTCACGAAATTCCCTAGCTCCTGAGAGACCGGGTCAGGTGTGGGACGGGTGCGCAAGATCTCACGAAGTAGAAAACACACATCAGCTAAGCGGAGCCGCCCACAGTGGTCGTGGCCTCCGTCGAAATGAGCTGTACTGACGACCAAGATTTCAAATTCAGCGATAAAACTACCTCGAAACTGAGCCAAAAAGTGGGTAAAGGTGTGCATTGGTATCACATTGAATTAGGGAGACCCACCCCCGGTGGGCGGGGCATGACCAAAGCGGGCGGAGTTTCCGACGGAAATTCGTGACTCGGTTCCAAGAAACCACGGAAACTGGGAAAAAGTGGATAGAGGTGGGTGAAAGAGTGGAGCCCAACTGTTATTGGAGGGCGGGGCATGTCCAAACTGGGCGGAGTTATCCACGAAATCTCTCAACTCGGTTCCAAGAAGTCCTTGAGACCGGGAAAAAAGTGAATTGAGTCCGACAACGCACGGGAGGACAGCCGCTATTGGTGGGTAGCAGGGTCAACCGTTACGGTGGACTGATATTGGAGCGACGTTGGACCGATGTTCACAGCTCTCCGCGCCGGCATTCACTCTCGCCACCCGCGAGCCGTCTGTGTCTCCGTGCGTACGTTCACTCTCGGCATTACCGTCGTCGCGTTGGACTTTGTTCAACGGACGGTTGACCCTGGTGGGTAGAGCGTACACCAAAGTGGGCGGAGTTTGCGACGGATATTCATATCTCGGTTCCATCAAGTCCCGGAGGCCGGAAAAAAGGTGGACAGAGGTGGGTGAAGGAGTGAAGCCCAACTTTTGTTGGTAGGCGGGGATTTCCAAGGTGGGCGGAGTTCTCCACAAAACTGTGACTCGGCTGCAAGAAGTCCTGAAGACCGCGAGAGAAGTGGGCGAAGAAAAGGAAGTGAATTTCTAATGGTGTGCGGAGGACACACCAAAAGAGGATTCGCCGTCAAAATTTTAAATCGGCTCAGGATAGTTCCAAGACTGGGAGATAGGTAGGACATGCAAAGAAACAGGCGAAGTTTACCTCGAGGTTCATAAATCGGTCCAGAGGCAGTTCGAGGTCGGGATAAACGGACAATTGGTTGACCATTACAGACAGTTGGTGAAGGAAGGAGGGAAGGTCAAAAGCCATCGGTGGATGAAGCATGGGGCAGTCGGATAGAATTCAGCTTGAAAGTCAAATATTCGACGTATATTGGGCCAAAATCGAAAATTCACGTCGCACCATCCTATATCGCCGCAGAATGTGCTGTACGCGCAATGCGTGCGGCGCTAACTGATGTTATTTTCGTAATCAGGCATCGAATTACCTCTATGGACAAAGTTTCGACGGGAAAAATAGCGACTTTGGTGTTGTAGTCGGATGCTGCTTTCTATACAGCTCCTACTAAAAGGGAATGTAGGCCAATAATTTATCCAAATTACTGTTGAAAGCCACACTTTCAAACAACATATGAACTACCTGAGACGAAACTTTTTTGAAACTCTCAAATATCGGTTGTCCGCGCAGAAGTAATGTAATGCCTCTGCCAAAGCACGCATACAACAATTTTGACAAGTCGAATGTGAGAGCAGCCTGTGTTTCCTGCTACCCACAAGACGGATGGCTGTTGATACAATCGCTTTCATTACAGCTAACTACGCAAAAAGCTGACATAATATAAAAATTTTATTAGAAAACTCTTAAAAGTTATCACTTTGTATGGAAATAAAAATATAGTTGAGAGTATAGCCCGGATCTCTATTATCGAGGATTGGTGGACAGGAAATTTCGAATGACACTAAACCGGGCATCGATAATAATGAGCATAAAAACCAGTCAGACAAAATCTCTACGAAAGTAGCTGCATAGAAGTTGCTCGATCCATAGACCGAGTTAATAATTGAATACAAAAGTCCCATTCAGTACATATTACAAAGTAATCAGCAAGATTAACACCATCGTTGGCCACTGGCTCGTGATTTTAAAAGAGACAGTTTGTATAATCATAAATCTAAGACAGCATGAAAATGGACGAAAGGAGATGCAGAAGGCGAGATGCACCACACCAGCGTTGGTCGCACACCGCGTATAGACTTTCGTTTACGAGAACCTCAGTTTAAATTCAGAAAGAAAAGCAATGTGATGTGTACTCGTCTAGTCTGAAGGCTGAGATAAAATAAGAAGGAAAGGTAAACAACGACTTATTATGCTGTGTGTGTCACCACACGAACCTAGTGAGTTTTCCAGTAAAACATGCTCATACTTTGATGAAAGCTTGGATGATTCTGAAGAAAATGAACAATAAAAACTAAAACAATGCCTTTACGATTTTCAAGAAAACGATTGAGTAGGACAAGTGAATTTCTTAATAATAATCTTGCTCAGTGAGATTCGCTTGCGGCACACAATCGTCTGCCATGTAATGAGAGGGGATTGGAGCACAAACGTTACGACGCTAAGCGAAGTTTGTCGTACATGTTGTCAATCACTGTCTGATACTTCAACTGCAGAGGTTTCCGCTTCAATTTGAGCGCTTCCGTGAGAAGACCGCTATCAGGCGTCCAGATCTCTTCGCACAAATGAATGGCAACAGGCATCTCCGCCTTCGTGAGTTTACCTTGAACAATAAATAAATAAACCAATAAAAATGTATACAAAATCAATAATACGATGCACATTCGTAGTTCCCGGATATGTACCAGTAAGTTGAAGTATCTGGAGCCTTAAACAGAAACTAGTCTTCTCTAGAGTCAGGTCATACTTCACGCTCGACTTGCCATTCGGGTGTAGAGATACGTTTCGATCGCACGATGTTGTGAACATGTGATCGGTACAATCGAATGGGTCGATAAAATGCGTGCCATACTCGGCTACTGTGCAATCGCGACCGCGACGCGACTCAATTGCACTTTGCACTCTACAAAGGCGATAGTACAATAGCGTCGATGACGTGATTGTAAATTTGACAGGACAACGGTCCGTTCGCAATATTCATATGAGCCGGTGGCACTTTTGATTTCGGGAAGGAGGGATCGCAATTTGGGGTTGAGCAAGGTTATCATAGTGGGAATGGAGGTCGTTAAAGGGGGCGATTTAGACATGTTTAGACGATTTTTTGAAGAATTTGGATCTGATTAAGGACGAATTCGTGCTGAAAAGGCAACTCATTTCAAATTAACTTGGCGATGATGAGTGGTACACTAAAGAAAGAAACTTGAGAAACGGCCCAGAACCCGAGAAATGGGACCCCTTCCTTGCCCGTTGATTTGCGCATTGATGACTCTCACCGCTGTGCCCTCTTCAACACTACGCTCTATCTAATCACTCGCCACGTATAGACCTGCCGCGAGTGATCAGATGATCGGTGGGCGTACACCGGCCAATTGCGCCAAGACTGAACATTACTAGGTCGCCGAGGTCAACCCTTTTGGTGCCAATTGCGCGTCAGTCCGCACCCTCAGGAGGTCCGCGGTTTCCTCAGCTAGGTAAATCACTTTCTTCGACCTTCATTCTGATTGTGAAATTCTCCTTTGAAGTTTTGTGATAGTACAGAGGATTTGGCAAAATTGGTGGATTTGCTGCTTCTTGATACCAATTTACCCCTCCCCTCCCCTCCCTGCCACTCCCCCGTTGGACGGCTGTTTTGGAGGAAAAGGTGGGCGGAGTTGGGTGTGTCAACTGGTGTCCGAACCAAATACTATAGAAACAGCCATGATGGTGAGGGTAGTGGTCGGGGAAGGGGAAGGGGAATCGTATTGGGGAACCTTTTAAGACTGATGGTGGTGATGTGGGAGGGGGAGTCACAAAATGTTTTAAGTACGAACGTGACGGTTGACCCTCACTGACACTCACATAGTCTGACATCATCTAAGACCCTGCTCCACACTCAAAGTGCAAACCGATTTACAAAGTATGAACAAACCTTAATTACATCTACGGAGCACCCAACACTATCCCAGTTCCGAAAGACTAATCATGCTGTTATACTTATTGGGCAGTCACGAAGAACAACTTTCCTATTGCCCTTCACGATTACTACGACTATACTTCTAAACTGATGCACATTCACTAGGTAACTCACTCTTTTTGGCATGTTCGTTGAGTTGTTTGAGGAATTCAGCCTCTACCTTCTCATTTCTACACATCACCTTTAGATCCCGAGACGTTTCTCCAACCTAAAAAAGCAGATGATCACGAACAAAGTTCGGAAGCTTATTAGTTGACATAACTGTATGAACATTGATAACCTGTTCGGCGATCTTCTCCAGATGCTTCAGATTCGGCACCACCAATGCAACCGTGTTGGCTTCGAGGCCATACCCATATACGCAAACATTGTCAATGATCGGGCAGTTGAGGAGTGCACATTCAACCTACAACACAGAGTTTAGTGCTGATTTCCAGTCGAGGAATCAACTGGTAGTACCTTCGCGAGCGAGACGTATTCACCGTGTTGCAACTTCACGAGATCTTTTTTGCGATCTGGAAAAGAACACACCTTACTGCGATCTATTTGGTGTAATTGTGGTAATGTACAGAGAACAAGACAATACAAAATTTGTATAAGACTAAAAGTTGCATAATAGTAATGGTAAAGTGCTACATGACATACCAACTATTATCAACGACCCATCTTTACGTTTTTCACCAATGTCTCCTGTGCAGAAATATCGCTTTCCCTAAAAAAAAGTTCATCCTACTCAATCTCGACACCATCTAAAAAATCCATTTCCCGGAATTTGAAAGATGAGAAAACGTGCAAATACCTTATACATAATGAACTCCTCAGCAGTTTTTTCTGGCTGCTTGAAATATCCAGGCGACACATTTTCACCGGTGATCAGGATTTCGCCTTGAGGTGGATCATTGAACGGTGAGTACCCCCCTGAATAGACAAACTACAGGCATGTAGGTGACCACGCTAACCAGAAGACAAGTGGCTTACCTTCAGTCCATTCACGTAACACAATTTCACAACAACGAACTGGAGGACCAACAGTACCCGTACTAAGATCGTTGATATCGGCAACACATCCTGCACCACATGTCTCGGTTAGACCGTAGCCCTACAATCAGACGCAATAAACGCATGTACTTAAAAAAGAAAACGTGCCTAACCAGGATACCTGAACAACAGGACAGCACATGCAAATATTCATGAATCTTTGCGTCTCGGCGTTCAGAGGCGCCCCACCTGAGAGCACGCCTCTCAACTGCCCACCCAAAAGTCTGCGAATCTTCTTGAATATAATCCTAGAATTTGGACAATATAATCGCAAATTTATAAGCATTTTCAATACAATTAAACATTTTGGAGAGGATTCAAATAAGACGTCAAAAATGCATTTATATTTGATCTTGCAGGATTACCTGTCAAGAAATGGACTACAGTAACCTTCTTGGTATCGAGCCCGTTTACGTTCGTAGTTGAGCTTGAACAATTCCTGCATAATTCTTGGACTCGCGGCAACTTCCTCAGATACGGCTTTGAATATGCGATCCATGATCGCCTGAACAATCGTTTCATTGGTTCACCGTCCGATATTTCCGAAAGCTCATAAATCATGCGAACTAACTGGTACAGCTGCCATCAGGGTTGGTTGAAGTGCATGACAATCGCCATGGGTACCCTGTTTAATCTTGCTTGCACGATCATGCAACGTTAACGGACTAGAATAGCCAATCTGAAAAAAAAAGTTATTAAAGGAAGCAGTCACGATAATTTTCATGGCAACGATAAGGAAAGCTATGTATTGGAGTGGATAGAGGTGCTGCCCAATGTTAGAACACGTAAAGTTTCAGTGGCAGTGGCCCCTTATCAAGGAAGTGATAAGGAGCCGAAATTCACCCAAGTTCAGCAAAACCCAAGGCTTATCGATGTGGAAAGGGGTGCGATAAGAGGGTGCTAGATATGATACCGTTATCATTATCGTCCCGTTTTCATTCTCGAAAGCACCTTTTATCAAGCAGCTGCACCTTCTTATCTCATGGTAAGCTCGCGATAGATACCGTTTAAATGTGAATTTGAGGCCCCAGCGAAAGAGAAAAAAAAGAGGAACTCGTAAAAATCAATAAAACGAAATCCTCGTTCCGGGCATTAATTTCGGGAGTAGACGGTTTTTGTTTTGGCCGCTGTGATCTCATATCACCATGAATGGGGTATATAAACCCCACTCATAGAGTAAGGTTCAGTTATTGTTCATCCTTTATATGAATAAAGGATTCAAGCGGAGGCAGTGTTCACAACAGTTTTATCGCCAAAGTAAAGGTTTCGCAATTTTTAGTGGCATACCGGCCACCTTTTCATTACCCATGATTACGTCACATAAAACGAACACGGTCAGAAAGAAACTGAATGGAGGAACTCTACCTTGCAGCCATAACACAGCGATGTGAGTTCTGCATCTAATTCGAGGATGTGCGCCAACGGCAAGTATCCAATGTACGTGTCAGTATCGCTTAAACATGAACTTTAACTCAAAAAACCGAGAAGAAGCCTAAATAACAGGTGAAGCTGTAGCCACGCATCCTGTGGAACATAAGGTTCTTTGGAAATTAATTTCACTTCAGCACAAATTTTGTAAAAAATTAACACTACGTGTGTTTTTGCCATAATGTGGTGTTATACTTATGGTGAGGCCAATGAGCGCGCAAATAAGTATCGCTGAGCGAGAGTCAATGTAACAATCGCGTGTACGGTGAGTCAAAATTATAGTAACCCCGGATGCGCGCAGCAAACCCACTTTTCTCCAGATATCTTCATTTCCCTCTTCCCTTTTGGCATAATGTGAAAGGACAATTTCCTCTTATTGGAGCCAAATACCATTGCTCTCTAGATCAATGAATAACTGCATCACGATATGCCAATCCACAAATTGAACCGACACGGCATTCTGGCACACTACATTTTGCGAAAGTTCAGTGTGACACAAAAGCACTCATAAGTAACGGTTGAGCGCTTTAATGATTAGGAACCGTCTATAATGGAAAGAGAATTGAAAACAGTTACCAGCAAAATAAATATCAAGTGCAGAAGCTCGTTATCCTTCTTGCGCACTCTCGTACCTCCGAGTGAATTAAAAAAAAGGATGAAAGATCACTTGGACATTTGAGATCCAATGAACGTCATGAACAAGGAGCCACTACACTACATAGGACGTTTCAGTAAGACGAAGCACCGGACGTTTCAGTAAGATAAAGCACCTAGTCACAAGGCGAAAATTCTGCAAAGAGGAATTTTTCGTGTTCCCAGTTTCTAGCATCTGTTATATACAAATCCCCGCCACACTTTACTAGCTTTTCCGCATGATAGTGGAAGCAAGACTAAGACTTAAAAAGGTCTATCCCTGAATAGGGCACAAAAAACTTGTAATCAGTTTGACGCGTCTCGCCTGCAAGCGACCCCACACGCCTTCCCTATCCTCTGAAGGCCTGTATTAATGCAATACTTAACAGACTTTAAATCCAACTTAGCTTTGCGTTGTCATACTATTGTCCAAGACTTTTTTGGAGTTGATTCGTTTCATTTGGCTGATATGCGTTTCTAGTGATACAATTTCTTGGTTACCATAATTTTGGCTCAACCTGTACATAAATGGTGGCAATAGCCCAAGTCATCGCAGAAAGGCAGTCACTCCGGTAAGGCGCTTTTATGGCACTTGACGGAATGCAGTAGCTATGCTAACACCTTAGCTATCCCACTGTACTTAATTTCCGTACAAACCTTTTCGGAGATCAGTGGACCCTTGAAGGCTCCTTCCCGTTTGTCAATGAGAGTAATGTGGAGATCATTACAAAGCAGAACTCAGAGAAAAGCACATTGTGCAACAAACTTGATAATGGCAACACCGTTGCCTTGTCCGCATATGGCAGCAACAATGTTTTTCTGCAACAGCATGACTCCCTTTGGCGGACCAGTGGTTCCCGATGTATACATGATCAATGCAAGATCTTCAGGAGAAGCCGTGGACTGCTCTAAATAAAATGTAGGAAAAAGGAATGTGTGAAACGGGAATAGTAACAAAACATTGACTTCAAATCTCAATATGAATACTGTGGCAAAAGCATAACGGACTGATAAATACTTGTTAATCAAGCATACTGCAAAATCTGTGAGATGAAAGTCTCCAAGTGTGGCAAAACTAACTGATTGTTGTACTCGTTCTCGTCAAAAGATCATTGAATGACAGAACCTCCTTGAATTGCTTCCTGAATTCATATCACTATGAAACTGAGATCAAAAATATGACTGTTCCAACAAACAAAACCGGAAGGGTTCCAAATCTGGTTGCGGTGCATCCTTGTTTACGGCCGGGAAAAAGATGAGAGTGTGAAGAGAAATGCAGCGTTTGCCAAGGGTCTCTATTTTGCCTAGCAACTCCGATGATGTTATGAGAATGGTAGAGCCGGTTTCATCAATAGCGTGCGAAATCGCCTGAATATAGAGGATTGATACTTATTGAAGACCGGCTTTCAATTGACACAAGTTAGAAAAGAAATAAAAATGAAACTGACATCTTCACCCAAAGTAGCATACACGGTAACTATTGGAATATTTACTCGGAAACATGCCAACGCTGTGATAAGCCAATGAGCTCGAGTCTCAGCGAAAATGACGACCTGAACAGCTTTTCTTTGAAATACCTCCCGTGGGGTAAGTATGTAGAAGAGATGAAAGAAATGACAAAGTTCGTACAGTTGTAAATCAAAATCTACCTTGGGATCTTCCCCGGTGGCAACATCCTTCAAACCTGCGGCTACAACCGCCACTTTTGCTTCGACTTCACGGTACGACATCCACTCGTATTCGCCCATCTCCCACTATAAAATACACACTGCTGAGATGCCTGCAGGAGCGTATTTGAATGGAATTACTGTTGTTATTTCCGACGTTAACCCAATTACACAATTAATCTTTCTGTTCAAGTCACGAGCAAGCTCGCGTTCAGCACGTGTTTAGAAAATTTCGAACTAGTTCCAAACATTTGAAGACGACGGGTTAATCGAAACGTCTGCACAAGAAAAGTTTCACCATAAGAAAAAAGGTGTTCGCCACAGAAGCAGTGACCTCTGTCAGTGTTCACCTTGGATGAGAACAAAAACTTGTTATCTGGATTGAAGAGTTTCACAAGCGAATTCTCGCTCAGACTATGCGGGTCCCCTCAAACAAAAAAACAGCCTAAGACAAAAGCTAAACGTTATGAGATGCTTTGAACTTGACAGTCATATTCGAAATTCGCTGAATTAAGAAAAAACGCAATATGCGACCCATCAAACTGTAGGACAAACCTTCTCAAAAACTCGTCCACCTTCTTGCTTTTCATGATGGACTGCCAGCAGCTGGCGGGTACCAAGAGCTGGAGCTTCATCGTACAACTCCACAATGTGACGCCACACCTGCAAAGACGATAACTGACCTTAGAGTTGAAGGGACCTTTGGAAAGCGATTGAAAAGACCTTATCAACAGTATCCTTTCCTGGGAATTCCTCACTTTTCAAGCCATCCACATGCCTTATAGGGCCATCACGTGTATCCACCCATTGAGCCTAAATGTCAGTTCAACAAACCTGCAAGTGCTTTCAACAGTATCTATACACAACATCCATTTACAAGTTATTAGCTGTCCCATTTCTGTCCAAATTTCGACATTATCTTCACTTCAGGTTTTATCTTTCTCGAAAACCAAATGAACAAAAGTAACAACCATTATCATAAAAACAATAGGCATCAATTTGTCAGGGAAGCTTAGTACTTCATTTCCAGATAAATGCAGCTAAGAGTTGAAAAATTCGGCAAGGTCGTTTTTGGAGTGGTTGCATGCAACGACCTTTACCTCTCCGCTGCTGCTTCAAGCATCAGGAAGAAGATAATCCAATGGATTAATGCAAGGGCTATACGATGGATATGGTGTCGTGGTCCAGACAACTTCCCTCAAAAGGTGGAGAGTTATCACTGCGATGTGAGCTCGGACATTCATTCGGAAGGAGATTTTGGGACGCTCAGGACGGCTCTTGCCTGCACACACTCACTGCTTCTCGCACTGCTGCGGCCAACCTCGGGAGCTGTTCCACGATGGCTTTCGCAATGCCTGCATATAGCGGGCGATTATCAGAGATACCCACTCGATCTAACACATCAAGAACAAAATCCTTCAGAATGGAGCTTGGACTTTAGGGAGTGTGGGTTCTGACTGCGAGTTAGCCACCAGGCGTCGTCGTAAGGGGACTCATGACTCATCTCCATTGGTGATCTAGCTGCGAAAGTCCTGTCTACACGGCACCAAGAGAAGACTTTCGATATGGCAAGAGGTGCTTCTCCGTCATGATCGGTCGGTGCATGGGGTTTCAAGCAAGGCTTCATTCTGCTGCAGCCGTTTCCATTCAGATGGATAGCGATGGGGCATCGGGTTTTGCTCCAGTGTCTGAAGGAAATCCCTGGTTGTAGCGTCTGTGTGCACCTTCAATTCACGGCGCAAGGGGTCCTCATCGAAAGTGAGTCGGGGCTAGGGTGAGGTTGGCTTTCACAGATGCATCGTTTTTTGTCCTTGCGATCAAACCACTAGCTCTGATCAGCAGTGACTGACAGCTCTGATCTTTAGTATGATCGTTTTATGTCATTGATCTATTTCGACTCCTAGTTTGTCATCACGACACTGGTTCGACCTTCCAAAACCTCCTGATTATCGGTCTAGATGCATTCTTCAGAATAGCAACATATTTCGCTATGACACTAACTGACTTGATGAGATTTGAATCTCTTACTTAACGAGATTGGATTTGAATGAAAATCGGAAAAGAATTATGGAAGAACTCGATATTTACATTTAACCTGTCTCATTTAACCTGTCTTGCAACATCTGGAATGAACCCTTATTTCTGCGCTATTTATGAAGTACATGGAAAACAACAAACCTTGCCTTTGGCTGAACTCGATAGTAATGATGATGAGTGCAAATGACTACGAAAATTGAAAGAAAAGTGGAAACACCAACAATTGCCAGCAGAATACGTTACCTTGACCTTGGACGATTTACGTAGCTTTTCCGTAGGCGAATTAAATAGCTGATATGGAATATAGTTCAAACAGTCGTAAATGAAAAACCATATCCGCAGTATGCCCACTAGGATGCGAATCCAAAGCGGCGATGATCCTTTGACGACCTGCACAAAAATAGCTGTGATACACATTGACAACGACGTGTAGGCTAATGTTTTGCGCAAGAGCTGATACACCATAAACGTCATAAATCAGAACGACCCGCGTGTGGTCATTCGTCATATCATGATAGCCCCTCAACTGCGCGGTGACCACTTGATCGTATCAGATCATTGGTAGCCGCATGCGATATCCAACATCAAAGAAAAAGAGACTACCCAGATTCAGGATTACGCGAAATTGGCAGCTGTTAGCTAGTAACAAGATCAAGCAAAGAGCCGTGACGTTAAATCCCACTAACCCTTTGAGCCCCACTGAACAATAAGACCTTTTAGATTGTTCCTCACTACCTGACAACGACAATTGACAGATCCTCATGCTGAGTTACCATTTTTAGGTCGAAAACAGTGCAAAAAAGATGTAATGCAGTGTAATAGATTATAACACTGGCGCAGTCTCTCCCTGATCGGCGTCCGCCAAACGACCGTTGCCCGCCCACAACGAAAACTACTACCTGGGCCCACATTGCCTTTGAATTCTTCTCCAATTTACCTCTCCTCCTAGATTATGTCCCTTGCATGGCTGTTGCAGTATTAGCGTGAGTTTCCCCACGAATCAAACTTGATTATTCAAAAAATGTAAATCAAAATATGTAGAACACATGGATATCGTCTCAACTTCAAATTCGATGAATTTTCAATTTAACCGCGTGATTACTGCTTTGTTTTCCGTTTCACAATGAAAGGAATGTATGATACATACATCTATAAGGTGTTCCTAAAAGCCCATCCCAGGAAAACAAGGATGCCCCCCTATCCATTTCATGATGGACTGCCAGCAGCTGGCGGGTACCAAGAGCTGGAGCTTCATCGTACAACTCCACAATGTGACGCCACACCTGCAAAGACGATAACTGACCTTAGAGTTGAAGGGACCTTTGGAAAGCGATTGAAAAGACCTTATCAACAGTATCCTTTCCTGGGAATTCCTCACTTTTCAAGCCATCCACATGCCTTATAGGGCCATCACGTGTATCCACCCATTGAGCCTAAATGTCAGTTCAACAAACCTGCAAGTGCTTTCAACAGTATCTATACACAACATCCATTTACAAGTTATTAGCTGTCCCATTTCTGTCCAAATTTCGACATTATCTTCACTTCAGGTTTTATCTTTCTCGAAAACCAAATGAACAAAAGTACAACCATTATCGTAATAATAACCAATAGGCATCAATTCGTCAGGGAAGCTTTGAGTACTTCATTTCCAGAATGAATGCAGAGTTGTGAGTTGAAAAATTCGGCAAGGTCGTTTTTGGGGTGGTTGCATGCAAGGACCTTTGTCTCTCCGCTGCTGCTTCAAGGGACCACGAAGAAGACAATCCAATGGAGTAATGTAAGGGCTATACGATGGATATGGTGTCGTGGTCCAGTCGACTTCCCTCAAAAGATGGAGAGTTATCATTGCGATGTGAGCTCGGACGTTCATTCTGAAGGAGATTTTGAGACGCTCAGGACGGCCCTTGCCTGCACTCACTCACTGCTTCTCGCACTGCTGCGGCCAGCCTCGGGAGCTGTTCCACGATGGCATTCGCAATGCCTGCATATAGCGGAAGATTAACAGAGATACCCACTCAATTTATCACATCAAGAACAAAATCCTCCAGAATGGAGTTTAGACTTCAAGGAGTGTGAGTTCTGACTGCGAGTTAGCCATCAGGCGTCGTCGTAAGGGGGGACTCATGACTCATATCCATTGGTGATCTAGCTGCGAAAGTCCCGTCCATACGGCACCAAGAGAAGACTTTCGATATGGCAAGAGGTGCTTCTCCGTCATGATCGGTCGGTGCATGGGGTTTCAGTCAAGGATTCATTCTGTTGCAGCCGTTTTCATTCAGATGGGTAGCGATGGGGCATCGGGTTTTGTTCAGGTGTCTGCAGGAAATCTCTGGTTGTAGCGTCTGTGTGCACTTTTAATTCATGGCGCAAGGGGTCCTCATCGAAAGTGAGTCGGAGCCTAGGGTGAGGTTGGTTTTCACAGCTTGCATCGTCTTTGTCCTTGCGACCAAACCACTAGCTCTGATCAGCAGAGACTGACAGCTCTGATCTTCTCTAATGTCCCCCTTGCAACAGCAGCCATTTTAGAATCTAGCATGATCGTTCTTTTGTCATTGATCTATTTCGACTCCTAGTCTGCCATCACGATAGGCTTGACCTTCCAAAACCTCCTCATTATCTTTCTAGATGCATTGTCTGAACAGCGACATATTTCGGTGTGGCACTAACTGGCTTGATGAGATTTGAGCTTTTGAATTGATAAGATTTGAATTTGAAAGAAAACCAAAAAGGAATTATGGGAGAACCCAATATTTACATTTCCCTGTCTCCAACATCTGGAGTAAACCCTTATTTCCGCGGTATCTACGAAGTACATGGAATGAAATAACAAACATTGCCTTTGGCTAAACTAGATAGTAATGATGATGAAAGCAACTGACTACGAAAATTGAAAGTGGAAACACCAACAATTGCCAGCAGAATACGTTACCTTGACCTTGGACGATTTACGTAGCTTCTCCGTAGGCGAATTAAATAGCTGATATGGAATATAGTTCAAACAGTCGTAAATGAAAAACCATATCCGCAGTATGCCCACTAGGATGCGAATCCAAAGCGGCGATGATCCTTTGACGACCTGCACAAAAACAGCTGTGATACACATTGACAACGACGTGTAGGCTAATGTTTTGCGCAAGAGCTGATACACCATAAACGTCGTAAATCAGAACGACCCGCGTGTGGTCATTCGTCATATCATGATAGCACCTCAACTGCGCGGTGACCACTTGATCGTACCGGATTATTGGTAGCCGCATGCGATAT